TCTCCACAGCAAAAACAAAAAGTAAGAAACCCCCACTGGCCACAGTAACAACAGAGAGCTTTTTAATAACATCATTTTCACAAATACACCATGTTCTGATGCTTTAAAAAAGAAGCAGCTTCGTGCTGCATCTTCTGTTTTCAGGCCCAGTGATGTGGGAACATCCCAGTCTGATCCTGCACGGGGCCTCTCCTGAAAATAAAGATCCTCTGGGAACTTCCTGGAGGCTCCAGGTCAGAAGATTTTGTCTTTGACTTGTTCTGTAATGGCTCTTTCAACCTCTGGGGCTATCACATTTTCATCTTATATATATCTTTAATAAAACCAGGAGATGAGAGAGATGGAAACAACACATCTCAGTGGGATACAATTCAAATAAAGTTGTTAATAATAAATAATATATTTAGTATTTATACTGCTGCTACAACCTGAGCCTGTGATTATGGGCAATGCTGAGATAAATAGATGACAGGAACAGAGGACAGCAGTGAGGCCATTAGGATTTGAAATTTGCCACGAGGCACAATCAGGTATCTAAATAATAAATATCACTTTGGTTTCTTGGAGCCTGAACCAGACAAGATATTAACCCCGAGAAGTCAAATTCTGAAATGGAAAAGGGAACTCAACCTTGATTAAAGATGCAGCAGAGCTCCCTAAGCAGAGCTGCTGCCTTCCCTTGTGGACAAAGAGCTTTTTGTTTTTCAGGCAAAAAAATATTTATTCTGCCTTTCCTTTTTAAATTCTGAATCAGGCTCCATTTCTGTATCCTGGATTTTAAGGTGTAGTGAAGTTTTCTTGGTCAATAAGAAGCTTTTCTGTTGAAAAGGAACATGTCAGTAATGTCAATGTGGGCAATTTTGGAGGTAGAGCTGCAGGAACTGAGATTTAATGCATCTCTTGGAGTTCTGGTTGCCAAGGTTTTAACGTGGCAGCAGCAGCTGTTCTCACCTTTCCAAATGATTTTTTGAAGTGAAATTGGTACATTCATTTTATTTCATGACCTGGCAATTGGCATCAAGGACGAATTATAGTTTAGAGGGTTATATCAAGGTTTTGTCTGCACTTCCAGGAGGATCCCAAGACAACAATCTCATGATTACAGAGACAAAACTTATTCTAACTGGTCTAGTTAATAAAAATTACATATTTGCTATGAAATCTTGTTCTTCAATTGCTACAAAAAAACCACACAAAACACTCCTACCCACAGTACATGACATTAACTTTGATCTCCACAGTATTCTGTACTTTGCCTGACCTTTCCTTCCCTCCTCACAGGTGAACTGGGAAAAAAAAAAGGGGAGAGGTGGAGCAATTGGCCAATCATACCAAGGCACAGATCAAGAGCATGGGGAACACTGATATTCTTCACAGTCATTAAAATTCCTATATCCTGTTCTTATATGAAAAAAAAAAAAAAAGAACAGACAAAGGCACAACAGGAATCTATTCTCTTGACAGAGACCTAATAATAAAAGAAACTGTTCTGAACCATTCTCATTACTGCTTGGAAACTTTAATCTTGTGGTCTTAGTTCCTGCTCATGAAAACCTTCAGATCCCTTTATAAGCTACAGAAAGTGAAGGGAATGTTTGTAGTTGGATTATACAGTTAAACATTTTGGAGAGTTGGAGCCACATTGGAATAGTGTTGTGATGTCCAGAGGAAGGGTTTTACAAGCAAGGCAAGGCCCTGTCTCAACAGGAGTCACTGAGTTGATCCCAGGGCTGGAGCCCCTCTGCTCTGGAGACAGGTTGGGAGAGCTGGAGTGTTCACCTGGAGAAGAGAAGGATCCAGGGAGACCTGAGAGCCCCTTCCAGAGCCTAAAGTTGCTCCAGGAGAGCTGGAGAGGGACTTTGGACAAGGGATGGAGGGACAGGACAAGGGGAAATGGCTTCACACTGAAACAGGGCAGGGTTAGATGGGATCTTGGGAAGGAATTGTTGGCTGAGAGGGGGGGAGGCCCTGGCACAGGTTACCCAGAGAAGCTGTGGCTGCCCCTGGATCCCTGGAAGTGTCCAAGATCAGGATGGACGGGGCTTGGAGCAACCTGGGCTAGTGGAGGGTGTCTCCATGGCTGGGGTTGGAATGAGATGATCCTAAGTTCCCTTCCCACCCAAACCATTCCATGATTCCATGATTCCATGATTCTATGAACATGCTGATGATTTGCCATAGGACATTCATTTGTATTTTGTAGGGAAGGGGAAATCTCAGAACACAAGAACTATTATCCCATATTCACTTGTTCTATATTTCTATTAATAACTTGTGAAAAATGCCAGTCAGACTTTCAGTTGTCACCTTTAATGACCACATTTTTAATGCATAAATATATAAAATAAGCTTCACGTCACAAAGCCAAACCCTCCACAAGCCTTTCCATTCTTAAACCACACTGTGCCTACCATCAGCCTGCTCTGGGGTCATCTGGTTGTCCTGCCCTCTCCTTCCAGTCTAAAGATGAAGCAGAGATGGAATTAACTTGGTAAATCACCAAAGGCAGAGGAGGTAACAGAGCAAGAAATTAATTTTGCCTTTCTCCACTCCTTTCCATCAGCTATTTCCAAGTCTTCTGGATGACCTTTGAAAGCCAAGACCTGAAAATCTTACAGAGAAGAATCAGTCAAAAGACTAATTGATATGCAAGAGGCAACACTGTCCCTCAGAAAAACGTGGGTTTGCTGCTTAGGAAATGTGAAACAACCTCACAATCAACTATTTTATGTAACTCAAAGCAGAAAACCAACTCCACGTGGAATACTCTTATATTGAATTGTTAATTTTTAAGATTTGTGATTTGTGTACGAGAGAAAAAGCTTCAGAAAGGTAGTGAGAGTTGTCTGGGTTATAAATTGGTTTAATCTGCTGTTATGTTCACTAAGCCTTCTAACTAATATCCTATAATAAACAGACATATTCATATTTTTTCTTAAATTACAGTCACCGAGGATAAACAAAGAAAACAACTCAAAGCAAAGCAAAATGACCTGCTTAGATGTTGAACCACAAGCCTATAAACTGCCCTGTTTTTAAGAAAATCATCGTTAGCAGCACATTTTATATGGTAATTGTACATCACCACTTTCTGAATAACAGCAGCAGAGTTTCTCCCTTCTGATTTCAGAGCCACTTGAGCTATGCAGATTTCTAAAAGCTTATGAATATACAGATAAACAGAATTGTTCTGAACATCTGTAAGCAAAATATGAAAAGATGTTTCGTGCTGAATGAACATCCTGGGCTGCCTAATGCTGGCCAAAAATTGGTGTATTTATGGATTAGGCAAAAGCCCTGAAAATAGCTCTGCACCCACTCCAGAAAGCCTTTTCAGATTGTCCTCTGTATGGCTGTCACCACAAAATGGAAAAAGAATTTTCCATTCCGTTCTATTCAATTTCCAATCCTGTTCCAAACCTTCCCAAACCTTCCCAAACCTTCCCTCCCCTTCCTATTCCATTCCATTCCATTCCATTTCTATTTCTATTCTATTCTATTCCTATTCCATTCCATTCCTATTTCTATTCCCTTCCCCTTCCCTTCCATTCCCTTCCCTTCCAAAACCTTCCCAAACCTTCCCAAACCT